AACGGGGTGCGTACAACAAAAAAGGAAGGCCACCAATTCGAGTAAGAGCAAATTAACACGTCCTGGGGAGAGGATGCTCAAATTCGAATACATCTGGACAGGAATTTCCTCCCCGTGTGAACAAATAATTCAGAGTGGTCTCTGATAAAGTGGCTCTTCCTCCATTTGGTGATGATCCCTCCTCAGGGCGATCGCACCTAAGGCTCGCGGCGGTAAAGATTTATAATGCCGCCCAGTCGCACCCTCCTCCTGGTCCTCTTAAGCTTGCTTACTCGTGTCAGCACTATACAGTGGGAAGAAAAAATTGTGAAGGTACTCGAACTGGATTGCACGAATGGGAAGGACCTTCCTCGGGTCGTTCCGCCAACAAGATGGTTAACACCAATACGTATGTGGCCTTTGCCCATTTGTCCCCTCTCCTCCTCCACCCCTTTCAGCACCCAAGCTTCATTTGCGCTCAGCAGAAATTCACACAGTGCACTAAACCCACAAGCCGACTGTGCCTCCACCTGAACAGGCAATCCCAAAACAGATTCGAACTGATAAGAAAAAAGTTAGAAGGCATAGGAGTGTTCCCAAAGGACATCGAAGAGACTTTCGTCAAGGGGACGGGAAAAGGCGGGCAGAAGGTTAACAAAACGAATAACTGTGTCATGATAAGATATGACAGCGGGACGGGGGAGAAAATAATAATCAAATGCCACAAGCACAGGTTAGGATGGCGAACGGGGAAAAGGAAAGAGCGGGAAAAATAAACAAAAGCAACTTTGATAATTGGCCTTTGGAATTTCCAGACGGGCTGCGCTGCATCTCCGTCTTAACCATTTATTCCCATCTCTTTTTATGCTTCTGTTGTTTATGACGAATATGTACCTGTATGTACGCGTATATATCTATATATTTACGTGTTTTTATTTTTTTCCATTTTGGCCACCTCCACCGGCACGCAGATGTTTACAAAAAAACAGAATATACGCACGGGAGCTGCTGTACGACAAAATTACTTCCATCAGGGACAACCTGGAGGATGCTATTACTCACGAAATTGAGGTAAGTCTTGCCACACATTTTCCTTTTCTTTTTCTCGAGCACTTAAGATGCTCCTAATTGTGTGAATGGTCTGCATGCCTTGCGAATATTTCACGTTTGTTCACCCCCTTCTATCTAATGGCATGGCAAACCAATCACACAATTTTTATTTTTTATTTTTTTATTTTTTTTTTTTCCAAAAACCACACCTACAGAAAGAAAAGCGAAGAGTATTAAAACCGACGGATAGGGAAAAGAGGCAGTCAATAAATTATAAGAAACGCAGATCGGAGGTGAAAAACAATCGGCAAAAGAGTTTTCGCTATGAGGATGACATTGGTTGAAATTTCCTCAATTACGTGTCATTTATTTTTTTGGTCCTTTCCCCCAAGAGGGTGTATAAGTGGTTGAAATGGTGTTTCTCCCTCTGAGACAGCGTTTGCACGAGGTGAATTTTATCTCCCGATTTTGTCCTTTTAATGAACATACACTTTTTGGTGACTTTATTTTACCCTTTTCGAAATTTACATTGCGAGTATTTCACCCACCGGTTGACGGTCACCCCCATCCGCTGGTGGTGTTATGATGCCGTTTCGAATGGTTAAATGGGACAAGACAAAAAGCGAATCACATTTTTATGGCATAGGTATATATAATCCTATAGTCACATATTTACATATTCACATGGAGTCCGGCGTCATGCGTTTATGTTTCCCCCTCGCCAGGTTGGCACTTGCGGCGTTATTTGGCGGCAAAAACAATTTGGTTTTCACTCCATTCGTGAGGAGGTGGTCTTTTTCCCCTTATATCGGCAACAAAAAATAAAGCAGTTGAAAGGTTGGTCATGCTTTCACAAAAAGGTACATCCTCACAGTACGTTTTGTAAATCACATAGCCTTTTTCATCACGTTAAGTTTTTTTGCCACAAGGCATCAAATGAAAAAGCGAGAAAGTTACGTTTTTTTTTTTTTTCCCTCTTGTGCAATGTCCCTCAAAAAATTTTATAAAATTCCTCTTTACTAGCGAGTACAATTGCAGATATGTGTCCAAGATTCCATTCGAACGAATTACGGCGAAATGTCCTTATAATTTTTCGTTTTTACTCCATGCATACCAATAATCATCACAAAAATGGATATAACACTTTTTTGCATGAAAAAATGAAAATAAAAAAATACGACGCACCGTAGGCAGCAGCAGAGGCATATATGCCACCGGAGAAGAAGCACAGCAAATGCTGGCGGCGAAGGGATATTCCTTACCTTTCGCGCGGTCGACGAAAGTACAAACGCGCATGTACGTAACGTGCATACCATTTTGCCGTAGAAGTACGCTTGGCTTAATGTTCACGTTGGAGCGTTGATTTGGCCCTCCCCCGAAGAAAGAACAGAAACAGCAAGGTGGAGTCATTATATATATATAAATATATATTTTTCTTTTCCTTTTTTTTATAATTGCCCTTTTTCGCATTCCGTGGCACTTTTATCCTATAGGGTTGACGAGCTGCGTACTGGTCCCTTTAAAAAGTATGTTCTTTTTTAAAAGCGCCTTTACACCGCGGCGTCCACTCATATATCATTGCATCACTTCGCTTTCTGTTGGCACAGTTTCATCCCCCCTTCTGCTCCATTCGCTTCGCTTCTGCACCTGCTGCGCATCCACGTCTCCTGGGAAGAGAAAAACCGCTTTATACAATATAATGATTAAAACATTGTTTATACGTATTTAGTATCGCTCCATTTTCAAAGAATATTTTTTTTTTTTTTTTAAAAAACGGAGCGGAGCATTTTCGTTACCGAATCGAATTGTTCACTTTGGGAAGGCGCATTCGACATGGTGGTGGGAGGAATAACCAGTATTCCTCTGAAGACACACTGAGGGGCACTGTTTTGCAGAGTTAGCGCGGCTTCGTCCGTTTGAAGCGCGATCATCTTCGTGTGGGAAACATCTGCATGTGAAGTGGTGCACTCAGAGCGGTTTCTTTGTTCGTATGTCACAACTGCACAGGTCGCACGTCACTACTGCGCGGATTGTACGTCACTGCTGTGCGTATTGCATTGCGTCGCCTCCCCCCTGGCACCCCCCTATACACATCATCGCGAAGAAGACAAGTGCGAAGAGCAACCAAAATAGCTCAACCGGGAAAGCAACTTGGACGCGGAGAAAGTTGCTTGTCAGGAAAGAAGCATTTAGTCCACCGGAAGGTCACAGGGCACAGCGCACAGGAATATTTTACCCAGTGAAGTCAGCGCAAAGGAGTTCAGCGGGGGAACCTAAACAGACACCATCGCACATGCGCAAGAGTATGCACGGAGAAGTTAACACACCCATGCTAACCAAACCAGTGCTAGGCAAAAAGCGACCGCCCCTTTCTCACCACACCCATTCTTATTCATCTCCTTTCCAAAGAGCTAAAATGGAGGACGTTCACCCCAAAGTAGTCCACATGGAAGAAAATCGGGCAGGGAACAAACCAATGGACATAAAAAACATTTACAATATAAAGAAGGAAGACGTAATTGTGCAGGAATACATCAACAAGAGTAGCAACTCCACGATCAACATGTATCATAAGGACCAAGTGAATATTTACATCGAGAATAGTGACTTGAATAAAAAAACGTATAACTGTTACACATGCAATATACAGATATATAATTACTCCTTCTTTCGGTACCACTTCAAGTCCGAGTGGCACAAGTACAATTTGAAGAGGAAGCTGCTGAATTTGAAGGCCGTCAACGAAGTGACCTTTAACGAGAAGGTGCACAACTTGACCAAAGGGGAGAACCACGCCTGCGGCAACAACCCCCTTAGTGGAGACCCCCCTAGCAGCAACCACTGCGCGCACAAGAAGCACAGCAACGGGAAGAAAAAAAAGGAGAAAAAAAACCACGCAGAACTGTGCAGCCGTAAGAAGGCGAACAACGGAAGCAGCTACACGAGCAACAATTGTGAAGCGCAAAAAATTAAATACGCAACGAAGGAAGATGTTTTAATGACCAAAAATGTAAAGTATGACAACCCCTTGGTCTGCTTCTTCGACAACAGAATTTTTAATTCAGTAGAAGAAAATATAAAACACATGAATGATAATTATACTTTTTACATCCCTGATTTGAAGTACGTTACCAATTTGAAGAAGGTTCTTCTGACCATAGGGAAGAAAATATACGAAGAGAACATATGTGTCTACTGCTTTCGCCATTCCAAGTGCGTCAAATCGTTACAGTCGCATATGATCTGTAAGAGTCACACCAAACTGCATTCAGAGTTTTTTATTTTTATTCAAAAATATTACGATTTCTCAAAGTCGTACGTTGACCTGTTAAATAGGTACATTACTAATAAGGAGGATAAGGAGTTGCTTCTGTGCTTACTCCAAAAGAAGAGGAACAACCAAATAGAGTCCAAGTGTCACCGCAGCTCGGAGAGAAGCGTGGAAGAGGAGGCGCAGCAGAAGCAGCGGGAAGAACATCCCACAACGGGTTGTGTTCAGACGGCGCGGGAAGATCGTTCAGACGTACGCCCGTCCAACGCGGAGGAAGCCAAACCCCAACTCGATAATGAATACAAAAGCGAAAGCGACAACAGCAGCGATGACTACAAAGTGAAGGAGGAAGAACTGAGCAAAAATATCAACTATGACACCATATATGAAGTCCTGGAACAGTTCGGATACATAAAACCTGAGCTAAATGAGTACAACAATTTAGTGCTTCCGGATGGGTCGGAAGCAATCAACAGAAAAATTGCCTACATTTTTAAGCAGAAATTGCCGCTTGAAAATAGAGCCACGTCCAAATGTGAAAAGCTTGATGTCTTGAAAAAAAGAGAGAGCAACCAGGATTATCGCAGGTATCGGGCCTATATCGACGTCATGAAAAAATACAACTTGGATTTGAATGTAAAGACGAACGGCTTGAACAAGTTTTACAAGAGTGACTCCATCTTCTTTTTATGATTCTGCATGGGCCCGCGAGTGGTCATCGGGGGGCGTGCACAATTGGGGGTAAACTTTTTTTTGTGCGCTGCTGTGTGCACAACAATGTGCATGCATGTTTCGCCCAACCCCGTTCACTTATCCATCTGTGAAACGTATGCCACATGCATATATATTTAGATTTATATTTACGTAACCCCCCCTGTGCACCGCAGTTTTATCCTCTTGTGCTGAATAAAGCCTTTATCTTCACATGGCATTCTCAGCATGTGTCAACATTTTGAAAAACAACAGAAAAACAGAAAACTATAAAGATGCAATTTTCGCGTCACTATTTGCGCAAAACCGCCATTCAATTTTGCGAAAGGTGTTATGTTTTTAGCTAGCTGGAAAAAAAAAAAAAAGAAAGAAAAGAAACAATTTTTGCCTTAACAAAGCTAACCATTTGGAGAAAAAAACAGAAAAAAATGTAACTTTTTACCTGAACAAGCTACCAATATGGGAAAAAAAAAATGGTAGCATAACAAGACGCCAAAAAAAACAGTAACAGCATTTTAACAAAATGAGTGTATGGCGCCTCCCATGTGCCCACCTCCCCAAGCGAGGGCAGACACTTCGAAGGCCACTACAAAACGTTAGCCCACATCAAAAGCCTATGTATCACCTTCGCGTTAGCCGTCGCGAAGTAATCCTCCCGCGTAACCCATTTATTCCTATTGTGGTAAATGGCTTTCCCGTACTTTCTGCAGCCTAGGTAAGCGGCTATGTTAGACATGCATTCATTTTTTACGTGCACTTTTGTATTTTCACTGTAATTTTTAAGCCGCAAGATATTGACCAGCTCTTTATGTAACCGTTCGTGCATGTTGACACAATCTGATACACCGCCAACGAGGACAATGTTGTTCAGCAATTGTTTTCGTAAATCCATTGGACAAGAACATACACACTCGAAAATTAGCTGACTTAATGGCACTAGGTTTTGTTTGTAGTAATATCCAGGTAAGTGCGCTAAAAACTCAGGCTGAAAATAAATTTCGTTGCTTAACACTTCAGCCTTGGGGTCTATGTAAATATTACTGTATGGAATTCTATAAGGTTTCAACAAGCCATTACAATCGCTGTTCATTTTTATGCTCCGGTCAATGTCTAGACTTATGTAACTGTTTAACTCTTTATAATTTTGCACAAGGGTATAGTCAACGTGCCTATCCTTTACTTTGACAAAATTGGAAATGTATTTAGTTATTAGGTGGCCTCCTATTTCGCAGTTCTTCGCGCTATCCAGGAAAACCCCGTGATTTTCCGCGACGGGGGATACTCTGCTTGCGGTTTCGCCTAAGTCCACAACGAGGGCTTCGCGGATGGGGGAGATAAAACGGAAGAGGAATCCAGTTGAGCAGATGATCATTCGATGTGCAAATTTTAATAGAATTAGGTGCCATCAAATCGGAGCATCCCCGTAACAGATGAGAAGGCACAACTCAGCTTTCCCCTTTTTTGAGAACCTGTTTTCAGTCCGTAGTAGTAGGACGCCGCGAGAGAGTTGTAAATAAAAGATATCGATGCGAATTGATGAGTCTTGAATGCCCAGTTGAGCATATTACTTATGAACAACTTTTCCACTTTTTCGGGAATGGCGACGAGTAAGTTGTAGTCCTCTGTTCTTATGTTTAGTCTCTGTTTTGTAGGACGAGATAGGGAGGAAAGGGGTTAAAATTGTGCGGGCGAAGCGGTTGGGGGGAATGTCCACCTAGAGAACGCATACATATAAGTGTGTGCATGTCTGTTTGTATATATGTGGGAATGTGAATGCGTTCCCGTTTGGAGCACCCCCCTTTTTCCGTTACCTTCACCAGGTAGTTGTACACTTGGAACAAATCTGTGAAGTCGTTCGTGCTCAAGGGATGCCGAGGGTCAGAAAACGTCATCTTCACATTTAGCAATTCGTCGCCTGGATAGGGGGTTAAATTCGGGGGGAACGTGTGCAGAGGTGTCGAAGAGGCACTGAAAATGGTTAGGTCTATATTATACGTGTGTGTCCATTCGTTTATTGGAGACCGATCAATCTTTTTCTCCTTTCTCTCATCTTTTTTTTTTTTCCCATCTCCACGTAGTAATGATTTCATTAGGGGTGGTACCTTCCTCGCCTTCCACTTCGGCTGTTTCGTATTTAGCTCGGGTGTACTCTTCGACTGCCTCGAGTCCGAACTGTGTGGTGGAGCGAGCCCATTACGCGCATGCGTGAAGATGTACACTCGTGATAATGCGAATGTGTATGCCCACACATTGGCTCGCGTGGATCCCAATGACGATGTCACGCCTCCCATCTTTGGAGGCTGCACGACGTGGATCATTTATCGGATGAAGGTCCCTCTCTCCCTACCTTAATCTCCCTCGAATTGGAAAAAACTTTCCTGCAAAGAGAAGAAAAAAAAAAATAATAATAAAATGAAAATATACATATGTGTGTGTATACCCCTGCTCACACACGGGGTGCTTGACCAAATCCTACTCTACATATAAGCAAGGGATTTGCAGAGGGGGCATTTCCTCCGTGACGAATCCCATTTTGATCGTCCTACGGGAACAAATAGATGTGGGCAAGTGGCTAAATAGGCGGGTGGACACATTTTTAAGGGACGATCGGGTCAGCTAATTTTTAAGTACTGGGGCCACTAAAATGGGGTAAATATTATGGTGCTGTTTTTTTGTTGTCTTTTTCGGCGCTTAGGGATCTGCACCAGTCTAGTGATCCATTTGTTTTTCCCTTCGTGCTTACCAGGACCCCGGGTCCAAAATCACGACGGGTATGCTTTCCTCCGTCGCCCCCTCATCCTCTCCACCATCCATTTTTATTTCTGTTAGGGAAATCGAAAAAAAAATATTTTGAAGAGGCCACAAAAGAAGTTCATGATGCATGAGAAATGAAAAAGAGACCTGAGTTTTATTTTGCAGACAAGTCATTTTAGCAGTGGGGCCAAATTTATGTTGCTCTCCCTCCGGCTGTTCCAGCAGGTCCTCATTATATTCGTACTTATGAATGGAAGAAGCGAATTATTGTAAGGTCGCGTTTGACGTAGCATAAGCCGGTGGAGTGACACAGGATGTCACATTTTTCGCCCCCCTTTGTGTATTAAAAAAAATGTTTCAAATTTCGCTTCACACGATTTGTACTCCATGGACCCATGTTTAACGAGAGGATAGGGTCTTCTTTTCCCCTCCGTTTTGATGTTAACACCAAAGTGCGTCGCTGTGGCTACGAAAGAGTCTTGCGCACGCATGCAGGGGTGGTGGTGGCACAATTCAACGGTCGCAAAAAAAAAAGCGGAACCTCGACGCGTGCAGAGATATGACAACAATAGGGGGACCTCCATACCAGACCGCTAACCACCCTGGCAATCGCAAAAATTGTTTTAAAAATGAAAAAAAGTGAATTGTTCGTTTAGGTAAGTATGAGGAGAAGAAGGGAGTGGGCTCGTTTTGCCTCTTTTTTTGCCTTCATTTTTTGTCTTTTTTTTTTTCTCCTCCATCTTCTACCCTTTAAAAGCAGCGCGCGGTGATTTAAAAAAAAAAAAAAAAAAAAAAATAGGCACAGCTATGGACCCATAATACAAATGTGTATTTATGTGCCCACATACACGTGATTTAGGAATTGCTACAAAAGTAACTACACATACATGAAAAAAAAAAAACAAAAAACAAAAAAACATAAAGAAGTCATATAAACAAAATGGGGGAAAAAATATGTATAGACAAAATTGCTTTTACAAAATGAACAGTGTTTATACATACGTAGGAACATATGTGCATCGAATGAGCGCGTACACACATGTACACAAAACAGGCGTTCTGAAAATAAACTGGGAAAGACTTGAGTTCATAAGCCCTTTACACGCACGTGCGAGGTTTAGTTTGTCTAAATGGTCGCGGGGGGTACTTGTACGTAATGTGGTGTTGGCTTCATGAGAGCGCTCACGCTTCGATGGACGTCCATCTCCATGTAAATGTAAAACTTCCTCACGAGAAATTAGAAAATGATATTTTTTGGGGGGTAAGCGGTGGGGGCTGTTGATCTTGGCGCTGTTTATATGATGCTGAGATGGTTCGCGCGTTTTGTTATACCCATGGGTCGGGATGGCCACGTCGATGAGTGAGTGTATACATGTGTAGCGTCTCTTTTGTCGGGTTCCGCGATTGGCCACCTCCGTTATGGGTGCCCACTAGGGATCCCCTTTATTCCTCTTCTGTTCCTCCTCTGAGCCGTCCCTAGCCCAAATGACCCATTCGCTCAATTAAGGTTCCTCTTCGCCAGGCATTTGGGTAGAAACCTGGAGTCGCACAAATCCCCAAATGGCGTTTTCTTGCTTCAGCTGGGCTGCACTGTCCGCCGTGATGACTTTCGGAGGGGTTCGGCTAACTAGGCAAACACACATCTGCAAAAGTATATATATCACACACTGACATACCACTTCTGACCCACGTCGAGCCCCGCCCGATCAAATGGGAGGACTCACCAGTTCCGGTAAGAAGCCAAGCCCCATGGGGCATCATGTGGCGCAGTTTGCACATCCCGTTCGGTTAAAAGGGGCAACCTCCCTGGGCACTGCCCGGGGACGTTCCGCTAAGCGTTCAACTCAGCGTTTCGATTGGTTCAGTTTAGTTTGGTTCAGTTTGGTTTGGTTCGGTTTAGATTGGTTCAGTTGGCTTCAGTTTGGTTTGGTTTAGTTTTGCTTCCTTTGTCTTGTTTTCTCTTCCCTTCTCTTCTTTTCCCTTCTCTTCTTTTCCCTTCCCTTCTTTTTTCTTCCCTTCCTCTTCTGTTCCTTTCTCTTCGTGCTTCTGCCCGCTAGTACTTCTCCTTCCGGGGGCGGCGAAAATGGAGTTTTTGTCCGAGAGGTACTTGGTGAGGTACCTCAGAGCCTTCATGGCGTCGACGTATTTGATGTTCTCATTTTCGGTGTCCAGCAGAAGGGCGTGCACCGTTTGCAGAGTGACAAGGGAAGTGAGGGAAGCGACGAGGACACGGAGGTAATCAATGATGCTTAACATGAGGGCGATAAAATCGGAGTACTTCTTGCTGACGTACTTATCTGCAAGGAGAAACCTAAACTTAGAATCTGTGAAAAAAGAACTGATGGACAACTCAGGGTCGGATTTAATACTATTCTTAAAGTAAAAAGATCGCATAGTGCACCCCAAATTATCTGTATGCGTTTTAATTTCTTTGTATATATGGCTGAGATTTTCTTGTGATTCTTTGTTTACAGGGTATCTCAAATGAATGTTCAGATGATCCATTAGTTGGTCCATCGTCGATAGGTAGTAGTCCAAAAAGAGAGAGTAGCAATAGGAAACAGGTTCGCAAAAGAGATTTTCCCGAGTGGCATAATCAACAAATTCTTTGAAATAGGAATTTAAATCCGTTATGTACTCGACTATATCGCTGTGTATGTTCGTCATGTATTCATTTATTTTTTTCACTTCCAAAGTGATTTTTCTTTGGGGGTTTCCCTTTTGGTCCAGATTGTTAAATATCTTCTTGCCAAGATAGTTGAAATTAAAACAGGAAGATAAATCCAGACAGGTACACATGGAGTCGAAAAACTTATACGTTGTAAAATAAATATCATTCATATCACTTGGAGTTGATTTGGTAATCGCCTCCATTAGTTCCTGCCTTCGCAATCGATATTCTAGAGGTAATGATTCAAAGCTTAGATGTAGAGCATCCTCCTTCTGTAGAATTCCATAAAGGAACAAGAGCAACGTGTAGACCAAACGGTTAAAGGCGTAGTAATATTTCTCAATTCCTTTTTCCTCAATTGGATTTTTTTTTTTTTCAAGTGCATAAAAATCTTCATAGATCTCGGTGAAGTTATTTTCATATTTTCGGTTCATGTTTTGCTGCAATTCTTTGTAGCTGAGGTAGTAATTTTCGGGTAGTTTCTTGGCCATTTCTTCGAAGTAGGTCTTGTTGCTGTAGAAGAGAATGGCCAAGCTAAATAGATGAGTCAGCATTTTGTCGTGGTACGTCCTACTCCCGCTGTCCGAGCTACTCGTACTGATGTTGCCCACACTCATGGTGCTACCGATGCTGGATGTGCTGCTATCCAGGCTCAGGGTGATACCAATACTGGGGCTAATGCTGTCCAGACTCAGGGAGCTACCCATGTTGGGGGTGATGCTGTCTAGGCTTAGGGAGCTACCCATGCTGGGGCTGCCTCCTCCAAGGTTCACGCCGCTGTCGTCCACGTTTAGGATGCTACTGTCGACGTTGGGGCTGCTACTTCCATTGCTACCTCCGCCGCTTTTTCCGTCGCTACTACTACTGCTTCCGCTTTTGGCGCTCGGCCCACTGACGTCTCTGCTTACACCGCTCACGCTGTCCGTGGTGCTCATAGTGTTAACACCGTCGAAGTTTCTAACACTGTTGATGCTGTCCAGACCGTCCAGGCCGCCTAAAAGGCTGATGCTGCCGCCGTTTCGCATGATCAGGTGATGTTTCTCCATCCCCCACGTCGTCTTGTCATATTCCTCCTCCGATTCAGTAACTTCATTTGGAAACCTACTTTCTTCCTTCGCAACACTTAATGGGTTTTGAGAAATCTCTTTATCTTTTACGAAGCAGTCATCAGGCAAAGTCGACTTTACCTTGGGATCATGTTTATCTTTTTCTTTGCATTCCTTTTCTCCCCTTCCATAGAACTTGTCCTCTGCTTCCTTCTGGTCCGCCTTGGATCTGTTAAAGCCTTTACCTATCAAGGTGTGGTAAAAATTCAGGAAGTCCTGGCGGAAGTTATTTTTGTTGGGGACTGGTTTATCGATTGATGCTGTTGTTACATTTTCGTTTAAGTTGTTTTTGCACGAGTTTTTTTCTCCTCTTAACATTTTTTTGGTGCATTCCTGTGGGTCGGGAGGCACACCCACGGAACTGCTCAACGTTACGGTGGGTTGGAAGCTGTCCTGACAGCTATCCTGACACTTTCCCTGGCTGTTTTCATGGCAGTTTTCCTGGAATTTTCCCTGACTGCTTTCCTGGCAGCTTTCCTGGCCATACCTTGCGGGGGTCGTGGCGGAGGGCACCTCCCCCCCGTCTTCACTGCTCTGATCTGACTCCTTAAAGCATCCTTCTGGTATCCCCGTCAAGTCCCCACTGGCATGTGTGTTGTTACTGTCTTCATCAGATTTGCTGGAGTTGCACTCGGTGAGCACCGCGGGGTGACTGCTAAAAGAAGGGGAGGGAAAAGAAAAATATACATTAGGGGGATGAACTGCTGCGCAGAAAAATATGCACGTGCGAGAAACGGCGCCCTAGGTGCCACTCATGGGTGGCCTCACCTGTCCTGGTCGCCTTCAGGCGAAGTCGTAGGAGGAAAATCTTCATCTACGTCGATAACGTACGCTGCGCGCAAATAAAGGGCAGCTAGCAACGAGACCACCTTAATAAGCATCCTTGCAAAAGTGAAGTATGCACGGTGGTGTTTACATCAAAGGGACGGGGGGGGTCGGAGACTCTCGCCTCACTATACATGTCATTACGCCCAACGAGAAAAGAAAGGCATACCATGCAAAGAGGCATACAAGGAATGCTTAAAAAGGAGGGAAAAAAAGAAAAAAAGAAAAAAAAAACTGTACACGTGTGTACAGAAAGTAATACCCCTAATCGAATTAGAACTCAGAAGCTGCGACATTTATTTGTATCATTAGCCTTATGCGCTCGCATTTGCGTATTGTTCATTTTTTTTTTCTTTTTTGTCTTCTACTTTTTTCCTGCGTTGGAGTGGACCATTTAGCTTTTTCGCTTATTTTCGTTTTGTTTTTTTCTTTAGCTGGAATGTGTTCGTGCCACCTGGGGGGCAGTCTCACGCTAAGGTTGATTTCTCCCTCGAAATGAACACAAGCGTTGTTCATGTACCTGCACCTATGCTGGAAACAAACTGGTCACCCGTTAGCCTCGCCAGCAGAAATGCCCTATTGGTTTATTCTTCCCGCGCAAAGGTTAAAAAACAAAAAGAGCAATACGACGCAGTATGCTCCAGTTTGCGGTTGTCCGCTTCAATGTGTCACCGTATGCCGCTGCGTGCTGAACTGTAGAAACAATTGTCCCAACGGACGCTCCAGAAAATACACAAAAAAAAAAACAGGAAATGCCAAAATGGAAGTTTATTCAAAAATCAAAAGTAGCGGGTGATCAGCCATGTCAAAGAAGGCAGTGGTCGATCCCCGACAAAGCAAATGATCCTATGATGTCATTTAACTGCCGCGGAAAGAACGAATGACTTCGGCGGGGAAATTATACACATGTGTATAAAGAGGCATCTGAAGGCATACGTACATATACATACACCACTGCGAGGTTAGCAAAGATATTTTCGCTAAATCGACATAAGGGAAAAAGGGAAAAAAAAAAAATCAGCAAGGGGGAATTCTTACTTGAAATGGGAGAAATGAATCTTGTATTAGGGGAAGAAATATACATATATATATACATACATACGTACATACGCCAAATGTACGTTTAATATAAATAGGCCCTGCTGAGAGCTATTTAGGAACATAAATTAGCATGCGCAGTTTTATAACTACATTGCTAACCTGGTCAATTAAATGACTCGTGTCATCATCCTCCCAAATGCGCCTTAAAGAAGGGTACACATTGCTCATATGAAGCCAAACTTTTTTGCTGTCCCTTCAGAGAAGAAGGAAGAAAAGGAGGGATGCGTGTTCCTTAACGGAGACTCCCCTCGCGCAACCGTACGACCCTAACACATTGCACTGTTATCGTATTTGCATTGTAATTATGTTATGCATTGTGCTTTCGTTTGGTCGCTGTTGGGGTGGGGCGACTTTACCTATTCAGTGTCACTGGTGGATGCCGACCACAGAGGGTGCAGCTATGTTGCCCCCCAGCCCACACATGCGCACAGTGTGCTGAAGTAAAATATGAAACGCACATCTCTGTGGTTCGCAAAAAGAGGGTTAGAAAAAAAGGTTGGCAAAAAAAATCGCACCGGGTGCTTCTAAATGGAACGTACCTTTGCTTGCCTTCGCTCATCGCAGTGCCTGTTCGGTTAGACTGATGAAGCGAGGAAGCGAGCAAGCGGCTGTGTTGCCTGCTTTCAGGGCCCACAAGAGGGGAGCAGACGAATTCTAAAACTGTGCGGAAAGGGAACTACCCAGCCCCACACGGCTACATTGACGAAATGGGGGAAAGAAGGTGGCACGGAGTGACGGTTGCGTCACTATAGGAGTGTTTTCTCATATGGATGATCCATTTCGTTATCTGAAAATGGTGATGCTCCCTATACCCCTCTGAGCTAATCGCAGTGCGGAAGAAAAAAACAGCTCAGGGGGAATCCCCAAGCGTGAAAAAAATTCCCGCTTCTAATGAGAAAAAGAAAGTAACGCGGCTTGTGTACGAATCGACGTTTTTCGCATTTTCTTAAAACTGTCCCTTTTAAGAAGTTAATTTGTGCAGTTATGTACACTCAGAAAGAAGTGAGCTTCGCAACCGCGAAATTTTTAGTGCCAACAATAAAGAAGGCATATTAAATACAAACGAAGATACATCCATTTGAGACAGTGTGTCCGAGTGGTTAAGGAGTCAGACTAGAAATCTGATAGGCTCTGCCTGCGCAGGTTCGAATCCTGCCGCTGTCGAATTACTTTTTTCAAATGCAGTAAAAATAAGAGATATAGAAAACTGCTCGTTTCTTTTGAAGGGAAACCATCCTAAGAAAATATTTTTCTATTAGGAAAAATAAAAAAATATATACATTTTTTTTTATTTTTTTTTATTTCCTCCACCTGTCATTATTGTATAACATTCCGCGCTGTTTTGCTTCTTCTGTTAAGAAGGAAAGAAGTCGCGGGTGATAACGGCACCATCGGGCAAGAACAGAAAAGAAGAGGCAACCCGATCAGAAGCACAGGCGTATCGTTACAGAAATGTGCACATAATGTGCCAGCAAAATATGATCAGCTGTTCCATTTAATTTCCCTCTTTCTTCTTTTCTATTTCAAATCGCGTCAAGGAGGAAAGCAATGGCAACAAGTTTGCGGTGAGGTTTCCATTTTGCGGCGGGGAATGGGCACTTGCCACCGCCCTTCCTTAAACTTCTTTTTTTTACTCCTCATTTTCGCCATCCCCGGCAAACTAAAATTAAAAAATTCAAAAAAAAAAAAAGTGTGTGGGGGGGAAATAAAAATGGACATATATATATATATGTATACTTGTTAAGAGTGCATTAGAAGGGAGGAAGGTGTCCTTGCCCAAACTACGGGACCCCATAAACAGTGCACCGTTATAACTTTGGAGGAGGGCCACCTCTTTTCCTCTCTGAAATTGGCGGTGTCCTTTACGCAGTGGAGAAACAAAACCAGAACCGGGGATGAAATTTTAATCTACCATCTTTCTCCTTCGCGGTTTTTGCCTTAAGGCTTCTCCCTAGGATTATTTATGTATAGACTGGAATTTTGATGACTGTGTGGTAAGCCCGCAAGGCTCTACAAGAATATGACATCAATAAAAAGTTATTTCCCCACCGAGTGTGCTACCTCATTTCTTCCTCCTCCAAGTGGGCGAAATGATCATTTAAAAATGCAAAAAAAAAAAAAGAAAAGAAAAAAAATTGTAAAAAGTGATGAATTTTTTAAGTACACAAAGATATATAGTGTAATAAACAAATATAATATTATAATACTATATCTTCTTTTTCTCTTTCTTGGGGGGCCAATGCCAACCCTTCCCCCCTTTGGTTTCTCTCTTTAAATGGATATCCCATAATAATAGAGGCAAATAGAAATTTTTGATTATGTGTTCATAATCATTCCATTTATGCAAGGGGAAAAAATACAACACAACATCGATGAAATGAAAGTATCAAAGGGTTGGGTGAGCTATTTTATTACATAGAAGAAGCTCCATGGGATAATGGTTTTCTTTTACAGTTTAAAACACTTCATTGTTTGGCTGATCCATGTGGGTTTCGAACCCACGACCTTCGGTACATAAGACCGACGCTCTAACCACTGAGCTAATGGATCTTAATGGGTATAATTTTCTCCATAAGCTACATATAATAAGCTTAGCCGTCATAGCAAAAAAAAAAAATTAACTCTGTAGAAAAAAACAGAAAAGAAAAAAACAGCCCCTTTAACCCTAGCCACTTTTACGAAAGGAAAGGGACATTCGACATTGGTATTTTAACTCTCTCTGTTCAGCCTCCACCAATGAGCTTCCCTTCTATTCTGTAGAACCCCCTGTTTTTTTTTGCCTCTTAAATGGGGCCTGTCCGTTCATCCATAGATTGTTGAAGCAGTGCTTTCGGGGAAGTACCTGGCCCTTCTTCCGTGCCTCCCCGGGGAAGCACCTCTTGTTTCCTCTTCTAGTTCCTTTCACTTGCGGCGATTTTCCCGTGCCAGTTGCCTTCACTCTTCAGCTCGCTAAATGAGCGTACTCTCCAAAAATGTAAAATTCACCCAATCCATCCGAAGCTGCAAACGCGACGAGCTCACGTTGAAACTGACGCGTCAATGGGCCGGTGCGATCTGCTGTCCACGGTACAGTCAGTTAATAAGTCGGATGTTGCGCCATGTAGGGGGGGCACACACAGGTGCCCAGGTTTGCACATTCACAGGTTCGTAGTTGCGTCGATGCGCATTTGCACAGTTGCCCATCTGCACAGTTTTGCTCAGGTTTGCAATCCTGCACAGGGCGTATGAGCATAAATCATTTTTAGATGATCGCTTCCCGCTTGAAATATATCTGCGAGTGGCTCCAAAGGGGGGAGACAACATGGGGGCGTGAAAAAACTGTCATCCATGAAATGGATACAAAAAAAAAGAAAAGGGGAAAGAAAAGAAGAAAGAAAAGAAGAAAGAAAAAAAAAGAAAAAAAAAAAAAGAAGAAGAAAAAAGAAGACGCATATGCTGCTCTAAGAGGTGTACCAAGCATACGCGGCGGTGAACCACCCCTGCGCTATTGCGGCAGAAGGGGCGAACAGAAACAACACCTGATTTCTCCTTTTTCCCCAATCGATGTCCCCACCGATGCAGTCATGGTAACGCGTCCCGGGTGATCCAGCTCGCGCGATGATTATTTCTTCGACTTACTGCCACGGCGGTGCGGCTGTTGGTTCCTATTTGGGGACCGCCTCCTTCGGTTGGTTACTACCTCTTCGTGTGCACCGCTCCGCCGGTTCACGGGCCTATCAAATTCTTGAGGGAGGAAAACCTTATTCTGCAGATGCAAAGGGGAAAAGCCAGTTGGGATCATGAGCCATGTGTAAGGGTGTGCGACTGTACGTACACACACGCGTACACACTCAGTCATGCTCTTTCGATGGCTTCTCTTCCGATCGCTGCGCGTTCGAGAGCTGGTATGTTCCCCCGCTGGACGTACCTCCTGCGGGAACGGCCCGCCTGGCCGGTGTACAAATTGGCGCTTTCGCTGGACTGCGCCTTATTCTTCGTCTCGGGGCTCTGAAAAATCACGACGACGACGGACAGGTTATCCAGGGCCTTCCTTTTGTAAGCCAAATGACACAAGGCCTCCGCTGCCACCGTAGGGTCAGAGCTCTCCACCAGGGAAGCCCTTACGGTGTTCACCGCCTCCTGCGAAGTCATAACATCAAAAATCCCGTCGCAGCAGATAATCAGGAACTCATCATCCTCCGTTAGCTTTATTTGAAATAGGTCCGGTTCACAAACAAGACCTTTTAATTTTTCTCTAGTCTTTTTGTCAAATGAGCCAAATCCTCTACACACTCCTAAACATCCACCTAGATACCCTTCGTCGTCTAAGATCCCTCCAGAGGTTATAATCCTCTCTTCCTCCTTTTTATTTCCTCCAGCTCGGTGATCCACCGTTACGACAACTGCCCTGCCATTTTTACTCAGCACACATCGGCTATCTCCTATGTTCGCTATATACATCATATGTTTGAAGATGACACTGACGCATGCTGTGCTTCCGCTGGAAAAGTTCGAGTGATTATCCTCCTCATTATTTATTGTCTTCCTACACAAGTGCTCGTCCATCTTGTGGAAGGCATATTTTAACGAATTCGACATCCCATTTCCATTTATGTAGTATGTGTGCACATGCAGATGCAGCAACTTCTGGATGATGTTCACCGCCTTCTCGCCGTTGTGTCCGTCGTAGATGGCGCAATACATGTAAGGAGGGGGGGGGGACTCGGAAGAGCTTACCCTCGCAGCAGTGATCCCAGTTGCCGCGGCTCTCGCCTTCACTCTCGCCTCCTCTCCTGACGCTTCCGATTCGACCGAGGGATATCCGAATGAGCTGTCCACACTCTGCGACTTCTGCAGCATGTGGTAGTACTCCCTCTCGAGGGACTCACTTAGCAGATTCCCCCTCTCCTCGATCACTTCCTTATATTCCTTCTGCACAAATTGGTTGACATCCCTAATGGTGATTACTCTGTCTTCGTTGTACGTTCTGTTTCCTTTGGAGCTGAAGGAGCCTAGCTTAAACTCGTTCCGTTTATCGGCTTCGCTACCTTTGCTTTCCTGTGCGTTGAAGTCAGTCACTCTATTATGGTTGCTCCTGCTCTCCGCAGTGATATATGTGTCCCTCTGGTACTCCTCGCTCTCGACAAGGTGCACCCTGTCGCTACTCTGTATCATCTCATTACGATTAACAAGCGTAATTTCTTCGTGCTCTGTGAGTCGTGTGAAGTGGCCAAGGGGGGAGGATCTTCCCGTCGGTGCTGCCCCTGCTCCGGAGCGGTTAGCCTCTGCAATGTGGTTACCCACTGCGGCGGGACTTCCCTCCAGTACTACCTCACTCCGCTCCATGGTTGTATGCATGCTCTTTGTGTAGCCTCTCCTCCCGTTGCAGTTGTTGGCGAACGGCCTCTCCTCCACTGCGTCCAATTCATTGGCGTCCCCCTGTGCGGAGTCGTCCCCCTTGGACGGATGATGGTTCCTTCCCCTCAGGGGATCCAAGTACATCGTTTCGCTTTCTCTACTTCTGTAGAGGTACTCATAATTCATCACTTTTTTTGTGGATCCCCCTTCGGACGAAATGTATGTCTTCTCTTCCACTTCGTTTACCTCTTTCACATTCTTGTAGTACGCCACTTTGTGAATGCTTCTTTTGTCCGCATCATCAGTCGTGTGTTCCGTTTCTCTATTGTGAAAGTCAACACCAGTTGCCAGATGCGAGAAGGGATAGACACCTTGACGACCTTTTTTTCCACCTTTCCCGTTTATTGCTCCCCCCCTATCTGTAGAGGAATCTTCCCCGTTGGTACTTCCTCGCTTCCAATTATTCTCTTCATCCTTCTTATAACAATACCCTGGAGGGAATCCCTCCTTGTTGCTGCTAGCGATAAACCTGTTTCGCACGCTGCTGCCGCTATCGCAGCTCAGGTTGCTCCTCAGTGTGGACATGTCGTTGTCTTGAATGACGTTTACATTTCGCGCGAGTAATAGACGAGCATCCACCTGATCACCGCCGATACTCAAATTGGCCTTAGCCTTCCCGATGAAGTCATTTCTAATGCTATCAGATGGGAAGTGTTCATCTTGGCTGGAGAAATCCTCCGCCAAAGGGAAATCCGTCTCCCTTTTCTTCCCGACCTTTCTCTCCAAGTGGTAACTATCATTTATGGAGGTTATCAGACGTCCTTCCGTATCATCATCATGATCATTCTTTCCGTCATTACTTTCACTGGTGTTGCGCGTTCTAGCCATTTCTGTGCTTATTTTACGGAGGCTCTCCCCCTCCATGTCTATTCTCTTCAAATCCTCCACCTTAACAAGGCAGTCCATAATGTCGCCTGTGTTACGTCCATTTCTGAGAGGCAACGATGGTATCCACTCACTTTGGCACTGATTCACATTATCATTTTCGAAGTTACAAATAAAGAGCTCTATGTAGTTGTATCTACCCCTTTTGTACTCCTCCGAAAAACTGTCGTTGAAAAGCATCGAAACGCCTAGATACAAAATCTCATATTCCTCGTTAAATACGATTGGAATGATGTCGAATTCCCATTTCTTGTTCCTAACGTTCGCATAATAATCCAGCACCGAAAGGAACCGGAACCTTTTCTTCTTCTTGTACTTAAACTCCTTCCACAAATCTACATTCTTCTCATTATTAATGTAACATTTTTGATGATACCTATTTAGCTCTTCCACTAAATCATGTATCTTTCCGTATACATAAATAGGGTAGTCTTTCACTGTTTTATCGTATGGCTTATTCATATGCAACTTGGGTTAATTGGTGAAGAAAGGGGGGGAGGGATGGTGCAAAAAAAAATCAAAAAAAAGGAACAAAAAAAAGAACAAAAAAAAAAACGAAAAAGGGTGCATTCCGAGAGGGTACTGTTTTATATGTGTCTCCAAAATGGATTTCCCTACACGGATGCCTACGTGGAAGCCTGTATGTGTGCCTTCCAGTCGATGCTTATTCGGCTCTCTCTCGAGTTATTTCATCTGGTTCCCTCTTGCTCTGCTTCTTCCTTCTTATACAATTTTGCGCCCTTTGCATTTTTTATATTTTTTGCGCATCGTTTTCAGATTAAAGGGGGTGCCACATTAGGCTTTGAGTAAAAAGAATGCGCATTGGAAAAGAAATCGGGTATGGAAGCGGAGAAAGATGCAGGGAAGAAAGCAAAACCCTTGCGAATTAAAGAAATGGCGACCTGACAATTCTGTGCATACTTTACGTGATAGGTAAAGTATAAGAGAGGCTGTAACTGTGTTTCTGGCTTGTGTGTGTGTGTTGCGCGTGGGGAGCCAAATGTGTACTCGGCAAATATCTCTTGTTCTTGGAATGGAAGTCCGCCGCATGGAAGTAGGCAGACGTACGCGAGTCGTTATGTACGCATGTGCATGGGGAAAATGTGCACGTACACGTATACATGTGCTTAAAATTACACATGGGCGTGAGGTCCTTTCGCACGATCAGTTATGCGTACCACGTCGCGCAGCGCAATGTACTGCTACGTACGCATGACCACAGAGAAGGCTGCGGGGTTGGGGTAACTTCTGGGCGCATGTTTGTTTAAAAGGTGGGGGGGTGGAAGGAAGAAGCATCCTATTTTACATGTTGTGCAAACGGAAGGGGTATTCAAGTGGAAGCAGGCGAAAGCATGCATGAGTAAGTTCCACGTGAAGGGGTACGCCAATGTTTACCAGGCAATCAAAAGGGGGTCAAATTAAAATGGGAAACTTAAGAAAAATATTATTTTATACAAGTTTTTCTATACTTGCTCCAAAAAATGCAATTGCGAAGCTTTTTCTTTAAAATGAAAAGGAAGAATGCAGCTTTTAAGAGATCTCTTTCTTTTTTTTTTTTAAACGTTTAAGCAATATATTGTTATATGGGGGGAAAATGTTTCAATTTTTTTTTTTTTTTCTTTTTTTTTACAATTTGGCTACTTCCTTATCCTTGCCAGCTTCATTTTCTGTGCAGAAAAAAAAAATATATTCATCAGAACATTTGAGTACTTTTGGGGGGGAACTGACAGGATACATTACATCATATGCTTGCGTATACACTACGTGCATCGCGTTAAGAAAATTGAAAAGAGCGTACAATAACCTCCGATTCGCTTAATGCGCTTTTTTGACTGGGCGAGTTCGCAACAGGGCCAAATGGCCTGAACGGGTCGGCTAAAATGACAACTGGTCCGCACAGGACATCGGTAAATACGCGAGTGTTCCAACGTGTATCGTCAAACGCGCTGCATATAAACCGTCTATTTGCAAACTGGGGGACACTTCAAACTGTGTAACATGTTATTCTTTAGTTTTAAATTCCCTTATGGGTCACTCTGTGGTGAGGCCAGCTCCCTGTTGGACGCGGCGATACTCATGCGTGCCATCATGTGCCAGATCATGCGCACACGTTTTTAATAATCCGTTATTTTTGTCGTTTCCTTTTTTTTTTTTTTTTTTTGCCCCCTCTGCTGTGCGTAGTTGAATGTTGTTTAAATGATATGTCAGGGGGAACCTGCTTAAATGTCGGCGTTGTGACAAGTTCGATGTACGAATAAGGTCTTATCTCCTCGACGTGGTCGCTTCCTTCTTGTAAAGACATTCACTTTTATTCTCCAACGGGTCGCATACGAACGGGGCGAACCTATCTTTCCCGCTGAGGAAAAGGGGGCACTGAAACAGACACAAGTTCAACTCACTTCGATGACAACTTTTACAGAGGCGAAAAGAGTCGGGAGAGGGGGGGACCAATTTGACTCCATGTTGTGCACAAAAATGACGATAAAATCAATATATCTGTTCTCCTTGTGTCATGTGCAATGAGACCAAAATAAATGTAAATAACATAAACACGAAAGGGAAAGCGAATTAAATAGACCCTCCACACACGGAATATTTTCCCCCGAAGGTGCAGCCCGTTTGGGGGGAGTTGCAATTATTCGCCTCGATGCGGCATCGAAGTGCGGCATCTTCTAGTGAACGAAAAAATGGGCGGCTTCTTTGTGTACATGGTACTATGCGTGCAGCTTGAACTACTTTGTGGAGAGATGCAGTGAAAAGAAAAAATAAAATAATAATCCTGGTGATGCTACAACAGGGTCAGTTCTCTACGACGGGTTGAGGCCCTCAACCCTGCAGTGCTGGTCACCCGTGGCGAAGTCGTAAGGTACTCCCCAGCGGAAGGAACCGCGCTTAACACGGCTCGCTCCAAAAAAATGTAGGCCTCCTACTCGGGGGAGAAGCGCGATACACCACTGCTGGGTGTACCCAAAAGAAAAAAAAACAGTAAAAAATCAAATAAATGCGCAAATAAATAAGAAAATAAATAAGAAAATAAATAAGAAAATAAATAGGAAAATAAATAAGCAAAAACGTAACCAAACAGGTGAACAAAACAGATGCACGAAACAAATTTTCACAAACGTGAGGAAGGTTGCCATGCAGCATACGCAGCCACGTTTTAACGGAGAAGCGCAAGAAGCGGGCAAAAAATGGCCCACAAAAAGGGGCTTACGACACGCATTGGTAAGAATTGAGAGGAGGAAAGGACGATACTATATAGTTATACGTTAGTGGCACACAAGGCGAGGTGAACGTTTTTCCTCTAGGGCCTCCTCTTCTCCTGTCCTCTGCGCAGTTATATCTTGTGCGAGGGTGACGCGTAAAGCTGTTGCGCCCGGGGCGAATTAGTATAGCAGCGCCTTTGCTCATTTGGTAAATCGTTCACTTGCTGATTCGCTCATTTGGTCATATACTCACTTTCTCATTCGCTTATCTGCACATTTTGCACTTCCTGGGTGCTTTGCCCCACCTGCTGAGATAAAATGGACGTGCGCGTGACGACGCCGTATGACGAAGAACTGGAAGACATCGAAGAATTTAACAACCGCATACTAGCCACCGAGACGCTGAAGCACAAGGGGGAAAATGTGCAGCGCAAGGGAGACGAGGCGTGCCCGAATATAAAAAAGCTGGTTCTGCCGGGAGAAGCAATCCTCAGTAAGAAGGACAAGGGCAGGTTCTTGAAAGGCAGTGGATTGTACGAAGAGGACGAGAAATATTTTGCATGCATCGTAGGCACTGTAAACTATATTAACAAGTTAGTGTACGTAGAACCGTTAAGAGGGAAATACACAGGTGCAGTAGGAGATCTCCTGGTTGGAAAAATAAAAGACATAAGTAACGACAAGTGGGTTGTTGAGATTGGCTCCTACTGCAAAGCACTGCTGTCCATATCGCAGACAAACATCAGCGTCTTCTCTCAAAGAATAAGACTTTACAATGATGTCATTAATATGATTAATATATATAAGCCGAACGACATTATAGCATGCGAGGTGCAGAGAATCCTCCCCGATGGGTGCATTATCTTACACACAAGATCCTCCATATATGGGAAATTGTCTAATGGCATCCTAATCACCGTCCCGCAAACGTTAATACAGAACCAGAAGAAGCATATTTTTGTCTTCCCTTGTAATGTCCAGGTTATACTTGGCATGAATGGATTCATTTGGGTTTCTTCACCCATTAAGAAGTCCAAGGAGACGAACCCCAACAGCGTGGATGAGGACATCGAGGACAACAAATTTGAGGAAGTGGACGATACCACCAGGAGGAACATTAGCATCATCAGCAACATAATTAAGTTGCTCGCCAAGTATCACATAAATATTAACTATGACATTGTCACCAAGATTTATATGCACTACACCTCCAGCAGTAACAACTCGGCCAGCTACATTTTGAAGCCCTACGTCTCGGACTCCTACCTCTTCAGCTACATAGACAAGTTCGCCCAGTGGGGGTGACCCGCGTCGCCAGGGGGGGCAGCGATGTAAGTGGCGGTGTAAGTGGTGGTGGGAACCCGGTTTAAGAACCCCCCAGAAGGTGCGCAACATTTACTTTCCCCGTTTAAGAATCCCCAAGAAGTTGCAAAACATTTACTTCCCCATTTAAGAACCCCGCGTGCGATACACTCGGGGATGTTTATTCAAGGTGGAAATGCTGCATCCAATGCATAGGTGTGTACATATATGCTACGTTTGACACGAACGTATGCCCTTCGGAGGGAAGCAGACAACACGGATAAAAGTTGCAGAGCGGGCATCTCCTCATCGTGTGTATGCTGATTTGTGTACCAATCGTTTTGTGCGTCATGCCGGTTTGTGACGCCTGGAGGGGGGAGCCAACTGCAGGCATCTGCTATGGAACCATATTTACGACAAAATTCTGCATCTGGTTTTTCAAAAGGTCATGATTCTTCTTGGTGTGCTTTAAATGGTGCTGCAAATCCCTTCGGTCCTTTTTAAACTTCACCATTTCATTGTGCAGTTTGTCCTTAGCACCAACCAGCTTGTAATATTTCTTTTCACTTTCTTCGACATTGTGCTTCATCAGGGTTACTCTCGTTTCCATATAGTCAATGTCACTGCTGATAATGCCCTTTGCTTTGTTAATGCTCATTTTTTTTTTTTTTAAAAGAGAGATCCTACTTTTGTGTGCATTGTTCCTCCTCATTTGGGTCATGATGTCGAGCTCTAGTTGCCCATTTAGCATGTCTGACTTGACGATATTCTTTTTTAATTTTTTTAATTCCCTGTTCCCGTCCGAGAGTTCGCTGTGCATCCGCCTGGTCAGCAACTCCAGGTTTCGGATCTGGTCCTTGCAAGAAATAATGCCATCCCTATTTTTTCGCAACTTGTGTGCGATAAATTTTGTGTAGTTCTTCACGCTGACGGAGGGGGTGTTCTTCCCTTCCTTAAGGGTTATCGTCTTAATTTTGCTGATAATTTCGTTCTCTGAGACGTTGGACCTGGCCATGGTTCGCGCTGGTGGGGTCGGAAAAATGGCCTCAACGTGGGTAGGAATCGCCTTAACGAGGGTAGAGACGGCTAGGACTCTCCTCTGGATTAGCACGATTGAGTCGTCCGCTCGGCGATATGCACGTGTGCATGTGTAAGTTTAGTTGGCGCGCTCCAAACAGAAATGCTATCGGGGGGGAATGCGTAAGCGTGGCTCAGACAATAGAGGCGGCGTGGAGTGTTGAAGCGGCGTGGAGTGTTGAAGCGGCGTGGATAGTTGAAGCTACGTGGATAGCTGAAGCGGCAAAGAAAAGACAAAGGCCGACACAGATATACTACTTCCTGGTCAGCGTTTTTTTGCCGGGGCTGCAACGTTTGGGAACGCTTCACAAGAACGAATTAACGCAGGGAGGGGGGGCAGGTCAATGCACAACTTCTTGCTGTACGTGGTGAATAACTACAGATGAGACAACGTGGGACTACTCATTCTACGCAGTGGACATAAACAGTTTTTAATTGAAATGGGTAAATAATGCTGACACGTATGTTTTTTATCTTTTTAAAGAGTCCACCTTTGAATGGGGCAACCTGAACTGTGCGATGTTCCTTCATATGAGTGTATGTACATGTGTGCAAAGTGGAATTTTTTTTTTTTTTCTCCCATTGTGGTTAATTAACGTGCACACGGGGGGATGTGCGTGTGATGGGCATGTGGCGCCTTGCCCGCTTTGTCTGTTTTTCCCCATATGCTCATTTTTTGGTTCTTCCATCTATTGGACCTTCCCACTTAATCATCTCCTCATGTGTGGGTGGCGGTCACACCAGGTGGCTCCTCCAACTCCGGTGTGGCAACAGCGTGTTGGCCTTTTCCCCACGCTCCACCAAATGTAAGTACTCATCGTGGATTTCCTTTTCGAACGCTCCTTCATACCACGTCATAGAGAAGCGAAGGGATTACCACCTCACCCCTGTGAGGGAGAACCCCCACACACCGACACAAAAACAGAGAGGGTGCCAATACCTATGTTGTCCTTTTCCACAATAAAGATGACGTGGTGGAGAGAGCACGCTCTCCGTTTGTGATTCGCACCGTGGGTACAATGCTGATATGGTTCCCTCAAACGATTGACACATTTATCATTTTTTTATTGAGGAAAACTCTGGGTTATGATTTTTTTTTTAACGAAACTTATTTTTATTTATTTTTTTTTCTTTACAGGAAAATCCTGTTCTCTGTTGCACCATGTGGGGACGCATGATTCCCTCGTGGGCTGCCTAACACAGTGGCTGGGCGCGCCTTCTGCCATTTTGCTTGTTCTGGGGGAGGACCACCACTACTTTGCTATTTTGGCGTACGTCACGAGAGGTATATATAGCGTAAGGCGATGCAGAGAGAAATAAAAAAGTGTGATGGTTTTCTCCTTTTTCGTAAAATTTGGCAGAGGAATTGGGTGTGGAGGCACACTTCGCGTA